AGGAGGGCACAGCCGGGGGGGATTTGGGATCTCATCCCAGGGAACAGGGACAGGAGGAGAGGGAACAGCCTCAGGCTGGGCTGGGGAGGCTCAGGTTGGACACCAGCAGGAATTTCCTCATGGAAAGGGCTGGAAGGGGCTGCCCAGGGGGGTTTGGAGGGCCCAGCCCTGGAGGTGGCACTGAGTGCTCAGGGTGGGGATCGGGCACAGCTGGGACTCGATGATCCCACAGGGATTTTCCACCCTCAGTGATCCTGAGATTCTGGGAATGGGATCACACAGGGCTGGAGCGAGAGGGGACTTTTCACACCCAAAGTTCTCTTTTGCAATCCAAGAAAAAAACTCAGTGGAGCTGAGCTCTGCTCCTGGCACGTCAATGATGACTCTGAGCTAACGAATATTCAAATTATCATTAATTATTTTTTAAAAAAGGCTCTGCAGCTGCAATTCCAATCAGGACATGTCATATCCTGCAGCTGCTTTCCATTTTCCCTCGAGGTTGGCCTCACCTTAAAGCAAATCACAAAATCCCCTGGGACAGCCACGGGCTTCAAACCTTCCCTCCTGACAGTCCCTCGTTTACTCCAAATCCACCTTTGCAGGGACTTTGATTTGGTNCGTGGTGGTTGTGGAGGTTGGGGTAGATCAGAGGTGGTTCTCCAGGGGTTCCCTCTCCGTGCGCCGACGGCCGTGGGGGTTTGATGATCTTTGGGAATGCTGATGTCGATGGGAAGAGGTGGAAAACGGAGAGGAAAATGAAATTGGTGGGAATTTGGAAGATGGGATTCCTGAACCTGGAGTTGGCAGAATCCTCTAAGATCCCAAACCTCCTCCTCGGTGTTCCTTAGCGTTGTACGGCTCCGTCCTGGGCTGGAAGCAGAGCTGGGATCTCTGGGTCTGGTGCTGGTTTAGGGAGAGGTTTTTGTCTTGTTGGTTGGTTTGGGGTTTCTGGAGAGGCAGTGGTGGCTGCTGCTCATCCCCGAGTTTATTTCCCAGTCCTCTCATCTGCTGCTGTGCCAGGTCCAGAATCCCTGAAATTGTAATTCCAGGCAGGAATCCCCTGCTGCCATTCCAGCTTCCTTTAGGAGATGACCTTGAATTGTCCTTGAAACGATTCCCTGCACAAAGCAGTGCCTGATCTCCAAAATTTCCATATTTCAGGATATGCATGAACTTGCCAGGCCCTAAATCTCAAAAATCCCAGCTCCCAACCCACCCCTATTTTTTCCCAGTCACTGGGAAGCACAAGGAGCAAGCCCAGGTGCTGAATCCATGCAGCAGCATCAATCCCTTGGGATTCCCTCTCTGGAGTTTGGCTGAGGGAGGAAATCTTTAAGATTTCAGCCCTTTCTGGACAGCTGTGGTAATCCTCCCCTTTTTGGTGGCATTTGAAGGAACAAAACTTCAAAGCCACAATTCTCAGTGGGTAATGACCCCAGCAGCTCCTTTTCCCTAGAGTAGTGACCCCAAACCAGCAGCTCCTTGTCCCCAGGGCAGTGACCCCAAACCAGCAGCTCCTTGTCCCCAGAGCCGCACTACTCCCACTCAATCCCAGGGATTTCACAGTGCCTTGTCTGCAGTATTACAACCCCAAACCAGAAGTTCCTTGGCTTGGGAAATGACCCCAAACCAGCAGGTCCTTGTCCCCAGAGCAGTGACCCCAAACCAGCAGCTCCTTGGCTTTGGTACCAACCTCAAACCAGAAGTTCCTTGGCTCAGTACCGACCCCAAACCAGCAGCTCCTTGTCCCCAGAGCCGCATTACTCTCACTCAATCCCAGGGATTTCACAGTGCCTTGTCTGCAGTATTACAACCCCAAACCAGCAGTTCCTTGGCTCAGTACTGACCCCAGACCAGCAGGTCCTTGTCCCCAGAGCAGGGACCCCAAACCAGCAGGTCCTTGGCTTTGGTACCAACCACAAACCAGCAGTTCCTTGGCTCAGTACTGACCTCAAACCAACAGCTCCTTGTCCCCAGAGCAGTGACCCCAAACCAGCAGTTTCTTGGCTTTGGTATCAACCTCAAACCAGAAGCTCCTTGGCTCAGG